ATTTTTCCCCTAAAAAAAAATCCCTGTCCTTGATATGCTGACTGTCAGCACTTGCCTATCCTTTTGCAACAGATAATGCAGTGTGTAACACGGTGTGTACAGTTCAGTCCAGCTCTCAATTGCTTTCTGTGGTAGGAAGGTTTTTAAAGGACATTTTATCCCTCAACATGAAAAGACACTGACACTTAGAAAAACATTGTTTTTAAAGGACAATGTGTCAACCTTATTTTAGTGACATCTGTGCTTCATCTCCATCTCCATCCTCATTTTCCTTTTAAAATCAGCATTTGTGAAGAGAAAGACTAGAATTTCCAGATACATTTTAAGTAATACTGGCACAGGTTAGCAGAACCCCACGAAAGTTTAAATTGCTCAGATATACATACAAAGTAGTTTATTGATATAAATGACAGGCTTTAAGGGGATTACTTTCATCTATCTTCCAGTGAAAAATGAAAATCACCTACTCTAGCTTTTAAGAAATGTCCACAACTGCAAAACTGAGTCATTTAAAGAGCTGTTAATTCCATGAACCCAGCAAAAGCATGCAAGCATTCACAGTCTGAATGAGGCAAAAGAGCTGGACCTTTCTTTCAATTTAATGGGCTATTTGCTATCTTTTTGTTCATCACTGTTTCATTCTGTTTCCACTAATATAAGCATTTTTTATGGTTAATAAGCCTAAAAAAAAAAAAAAAAAGAAAGGAAATACATTCTGAAAATGTTTCTGTCAGATAACATAAGTTCCAGGCAAATACTGATTTAATACTGCAGTTGAAGAATTGGAGCAGCAAGCCTCTTTTTCCCAAGCCCAGATATGAACAGCTAAGTAGATTCTATTGTGACAACTGCTAACACATCTGGAACTGTTAGAAATTATTATTTTGTTTACAATTATTTTCTATTTTACCTGTGTCTTAAAGCAGTCATACTGATTCAGCATATTCAGGAGAGTTATAGTCTTCTGCAATAACATGTTTTTATATAAGCATAATCTTTAATTAAGTTGTAAATGAATTTATTAAAAGAGGATCCACATATCTGCTATTTTGATCCGATTATCTGCTGTTATAAAATTTGATGGAAATGAAGATGTACTCTTGTAAGCTAATTATTCTCATAGAACTCTTTACGTAAACTGCTTGCAAACTATTTGACAGATTTCAGCCACATGAGCTCTCAAAGTAAAATAGCGAAAACATCAGGCTAAGACTAAATGAGAATAACATTTTGTCAGTGGGTTGCACAGACAAAAAGCACATAAATCAGGGAACTCCCGAATCCTGGAATCCATCCTAGGCTCTGGTTGGGAGACTTTCAGTGGGAAGTCGGGGGTTTTTTTCCTGTTGTCTCCTGCCTCCCCCTGTCTTCTGGTCCTTTCTCTTCAACACAAATGCCTATCCCTCTCAAGCTTTCTTGCCAGTCTCGATGACACAAGCTGCTTCACCCCACCCATCAGCTCTAGTCTCTCCTTCTGCATTCAGTGCCCAAAACTCAGTCTTCCCACCAGCTTTTTCCTCCACACATCCAGTCTCAGAATCAGTATCCAGACAGAAGGGATGGAACTCATCTGCTTAAATGGTGATATCCAGAGAATATTTAGTCATTTCAAAGTAACCAAGAATATGTGGAGGTTCGGCAGATATGACAGAGAACCTTCTGGAGTGGCAACTGAAAGATGGGCACATAAAATGGTACCAGACATCTACATCTATGCAATCAAGTCCTGGTGTAGAGGCTTCTCCTGCCTCTTCCCTTCCACTCTCAGTTGTTGCCCTCTCCACCCAGCTGCACCCCAGATTCATTCTCCTTATTCTCCACAACTAGTTCCAGGGCTTTCCTACCATACCCTTCACTATCACATCCTATTCTATTCTTTCTACCCAAGTAACTCAGTCATCCCCTCCTCAGTTCCCAATCTTCTGTCTTCTTATTGGTCTATTTTCTGCCCTTCCCAGCAGAATTTCACTGGAGTCCTTTTTCAAAAGGATTTATTTCCTTTTTTTTCAAGAATGGGTCCTTATTCTGATTCTAGTTTCTTCTTGAATCCACCAATGATCACAGAGCACAGAAGAATGACAAACTATATCCCTTACCTCTGGGTAAGAGCTGAGTATTTTCATTCACTCTGTGAAGATGGCTCACACTAGTCAACAATTAGGGGGTTAGAAACAAATAGTACTCTCTAATAACTGTGATATGTCAGATACAAAACTCCAAAGAATTATCCTAATATATGAGAGGTACAGAACAAGGAAACGTTTCACAAGAATCTGCCTGTTCCTGAATAACTCTGTCACTGTCCCCTAATGACAGAGTGACTT